ATTATTCTGCCGGCTTTCCTGGAACTCAGACGTGTCCATCGACGCCAGTACATTTCATTTTAAAAAGGCGGTCTGTGGCGCCTAGGACTTTTCCTATGTTTGGGATGAAACCTTTGTGAAGAGCGGCCAGAAGAATCACAGTCCAACCAACCAACCATCAACCTATTACCTACCAATTATCACCCAACTACCAGGTGTGGAGACTGACGTCAGTTTGGGGTGCCATATACCCCAAACATCCTACAGTGCCAGAGCATGTGTGTAGCTCAGGGACAGTGCTGCGAATGACTAGAGGGAGAGATTTGTTAAGTGCCTATCCAGTTGCTATGTCCTTTATGGTGAGGTACTTCTTCACCATCTGATCCAGTTGAGGCAGAGTTACCAAAGACAGTCGAATCATCAGGAGCTGAGGGAAGCATCAACGATAGAAAGAGGATAAGTGCCAGTTTGATGCCATGTTTTGCTATATTCCTCACAGTTCCCATGTTTCCCGAGGATGAATTTGTGTCATCTCCAGATCATTCTGGCTGTTTAGTTGTCTTTGCAATCTGGACATTGTATTCTGGAATCCATCTATTGAGATCTGGCATCTACTTCACTATTATATATATGTATATGTTGTATGGATTACACGCATTCATTTTCATGGCTGACTTAGGTGACTCTATTTCACCTTTTTAAGTGTTTAGCATTTGTGTGTGTATGAATCTTAAATATATGTGTTAACATGGTTATAATAATGATCTATCATAACCTGGGAGCTTTCTTTAGTAAGTAGTGGGGGTGTCCAGCCAAGTGTGCCTAGGAATATTGTATTGTATACTGATATATTTTGTAGTGCCAATACTTGAGTTGCCCTACTCCAGAAATAAGTTGAGCGTATATTGGCTACGGGGAATCCCTTAGACCAATACGAGCCAAACGACTCAAGATAATTATTTCTGAGTGCTGTTGGTTCTGAAGGAGAAATCCTTATATCAGGCACGTGACAGGAGTGATATGTGACACGTACAACGACACATCATCTAGCATGAGAATGGTGGTGACAGCAGCAACGGCTGCTTTCTGACGGCCTACATTTCATTATATTACAAACTGGTGTCTTGCGCTCAGGGTGGTTGCACTGGCTTGCACAGCTTTATAGGAGTCAGATTAAAATAACCAATGTATTGTTTGCCGCAGAGATTCTGGTGTACGGGGTAATGTGCCAGCTAACAGAACAGGTAGAGTATCGACAAAACCGAACTTTCTCAATCAGGTTACAACTGGCACTATCAGTATGGAAACTGTTCACTGGCCACTGGGGAAGGGGACACAGGACGCAGGGGAATCTCCCGGGTGCCACGGATGTCAATTCTTGACTGATTTATTCATTTGAATTCTCCTCAGAAACAACACTGCGGCTACTCACTCGTAAAGTCAGTAAAGGACCATTTTCCACGCCTTTAGGCTTACTGGGCTTGACTTATATTTTATAGAGAGAAAAAGTCAGGCTCGTTCAGGACCCGACCCCAAAAACCTTGGCAGGCGAACATCTAGCCCTATACCACGCCGGCTCTCAGATACTCGTTAACTTGCAGCAACAACATCTTATAGAGCGATTCTCCGATCTGGCCAAACATGTCAAGCAATAAAAACATATATGTTACTTGGAATGTTGACCTGACCTGATGTTTCTGTGACTGAACAATTAGTATCTTGTTTTTAGTCACACTTTAACATATCGCCTAGAATGTATATTAAAATTCCTTGCTGTCAACATGATTCTATATCGATCGGCAAACATGTTTCTCCCGACTTTCTAACCTGTTCAGGACAGCCGGGGCAATTTTAAAATTGCATTCCTTGCATCTGGAGTTCTAGGAATGTAACTCATTGTTGAGCCATGAGAAGACTGGCATGTTCATTAAGCTGTCATAGTTTCAGTTTAACTTGATCAATTATCAACAAGCTTGTCTGGCCACTGTCAACCATACACATCCCCCCCCCCTTTTTTTTTTTTTACCCACCCAATAATGGTTAAGGGCTCTATTTTCGCCAGCGGTACATTGTGAATTGATGCTAACCGCTTATTTGTATAGGTAAACACCACAACGTTTGCCTTTACTTCCCTGGACGTTAACGGTACGCATCTTAGGCTGAGTCGACCTGGGGCCGAGGTCATTTTCACAAATAAATTCGATTTGGATGCGCATTTGAACCCATGAACTTCGGGCCGAAAAGCTAGCGTCTAGCCGCTAAGCCCCCAAGATACCAAAATAATACTTAAAAAAATGTCACCATAAGCACCGCAGTGCAATGCGTGATGAGCACATCACCCACGAGTGACGTCTAGTCTATACAGTAAGAGTCCAGCATCAATCATTTGCCCGAAGCGCAACTGGCATAGAAAAGGTTCCTTTTCTTAGTTACCGTGTAACCTCGCTTAACGAGCAGAATTCCTTCCAGAATCATACTCGTTCAGCGAAACACTCGTTATGCGAAACAATTTTTCTCATATAAATTAACGTAAAATACGATAATGCGTTCCATTTCGAAAAATAATACTAACAAAATGTTGTGTATAACATTTACTCAAAGAAAATTATGTACATATTGTTAAGGAGAGTGAATCATAATTATCTTTTTTCCAAACGCGTAACGAACCCACCTGAAATGCGAATTCGATTTGCAGAAAAAAAAAGTCGAAATAATTAAGATATATAGCTAATTATTTTTTACTAGAAAGATGTCCAGAGACATTTGTTTTTGCCAACGTTTCAAAATTTGGCGAAATGCGACACAGCATTATCATTAAATAAATTTGCAGCGCGCATAGCCACTTCCTTTTTAGGGTTATGCTCCTCAATTTAAGATGCAACAGTTTCCCATGCTTTCAGCATTTCTTTAATTAGCCAAAAGATTGTTGCTTTCCTGTTACCTCCTCCTCTGACAAACTTTCATCGAAAACTTCTTGCTGTGAAACACAATGCAACTCCATAAGCTTTTCGGTGGTCAGCTCTTGGCTGTGCTCTTCCACAAGCTCTTCGATATCACTGTTATCCACCTACAATCCCATGACAATCCCATGACACAATCTCGTTGACTACAGGTTCTACGGGTACTGCCTCGAACCCATCAAAGTCACAAATCGACAACGCTCTCCGGCCAAAGCTTCCTCCAAGGAGAAGTTAGGGTCCTTTGGTAACCCCTTCCCCCGCCTTGTCGATCATCTTGAGGCAGGCAACGATGTGGAAGTAATTTTTCCAAAACTCTTTGAGAGTAAGGTTGGTCCCTTCAGTCATCAAAAAACAATACTCGAAGAGTGCTTTAGTGTAGAGCTTCTTAAAGTTAGAAATAACTTGCTGGTCCATGGGCTGGAGTAACGGAGTGGTGTCGGAATGCAGAATTGGATCTTGATAAACTTAAATTTTCAGGCAGGTCATCTTGTAGGCCTGGATGATTCATGTACATATATCACAATAAAACACAAGTTTGAGAAAATGTGTGATTACAAGCGATACTACGATGCTACTGGAACAAGTGCTAAACACAGACTGATGTAACATGCGCACAATCCGAGACTTCCCCTCTCCTCGCCACTCGTTATGCGAAACGTCGCTAGTTAAGCAAGTCATTCTTTTACAATTTGTTCTGCTCGTTTTGCGAATTACTCGTTATGAGGTGCTCGTTAAGCGAGGTTCTACTGTAATTACACGACCTTCCTTAACTCTGGCTAAGTTAGAGAAGGCCGTGGTTACTTAGTGCAGCGCAATCGTAACACAGCCAAAACAAAACTCAATTGACCTTTCTTTGACACTTGTTGTTTCCCCCATCAAAATATTATTAAAAAGGTACCCATTTCCTGCTTCTTACCTGTCAGTATAAAAAGTCATTTGACATTTCAGTCACTGCCAATTTTAACATCAGCTGCAGTAAAGCAAACCAATTACTGTGACAGCTAGAGACCCCCCCCCCCCCCCCCCCCCCCACCACCCCCCCCCCCCCCCCAACCCCACCTTTTTCCCGTATTTTTTTCCTAAAGCATAAGACCATCCTGATTAGCACAAAGAAACATCTTATACAAAGCTTATTTATCTCCGTTCTATGCTACCCATGTCAGTCATTCACAACAAAAAATAACAGATTTAGTAACCATAGAATTGGGATGTCTAAAAAGTCTTCATGAGTGGCCAGAAGAGATAGTCAGAAATAAGGTCATACGAGAACAAGTCGTCAGAGAACCATTTCTACATGACATAAAAATGGCAAATCAAATGCCCCGTGATGCCATAATATATAAGGCACACACCAAAAGATGAGATGGTCCTAGTGGATAAGGCTAACCAAGAAAACCGCAAAGAAACACTATAACGGAACGATGTGTCGTATGGTCGAGGCGGTCAGAAGGACCCATGAAGCGATAAAAGAGATAGGAGAAGATTGTTCATTCCTTTGAATCACGGAAAATACTGTTAAAAACTAAAATACTACATCAGAGAAACAGTCAATTCCAATAATAACAGCATGCCAGATATTATGAGTTCAGCCCAGGTGGCCTGGTGGTAAGTGTGTGTTCCTACTTGGTCTCCTACTATCCACTCTTTGCAAGTGTATTATACTTGAGATAGGACATTTACCTAATCTCTTTCACTTTCACTTCCAGAAATAAATACTGAAAAAGGTTGGCTATTAAAGACGATAAAATACCTAAATTAAAATATTTTGGGCACCTGAAACGTCACGAAAGTTTGGAGAGAATAAAAATGGAGGGGAATATGCCTGGGAGGTGGGGAAGAGAGGAAGAGGAAGGCTAAAGAGAAGATGGGTGCAGGATGCGAGGATGATCTCAAGAGGGGTGTACTGGACGTCTTGCTTGTGATAGAGAAGTGTTCCGGAGGGTTGTTATGGGCAAAAGGTTCTGCAAAGGAGATGCTACTGGTTGACCGATTTTAATTGTCCTCAGCACATTATAGCTGTTGCTTGCTTGAGTCGGACAAATACAAAACGAGCATAATTACCTTCTTGTATACCAAATGGTTGGGGTTGTCCTCGTGTGTGTGCTGACCGTTACCAAGCGGAGTGGCCACAGACGAGGGCAGCGAGTCAGTCCTCCTACTGCTGCTGTGTCTGTGTGCCATCCTGCGCTTGAAATCCTCTAGCGTCAACGTGCTGGGTGGCTTGTCAGAGCCAAACTATGGACACCACAACACCACGTCACAAACTATTGTTCTACAGTCACTGGACACTCCCAGGGAGAATTGTCATGGCGCGTGTAACATTCAAATATTGACATGTCAATCTAAACCCGTATGTTGGATATGTTGTAAACATTGTACCAGTTGTTGCACACATCTAACCAGCTGTCCCACATCGCTGACACAGTCCCGCGATTAAACCATGAATGTGACCAGAACATCTCAACACTTTCATTCTTGCCAAATTTCATTTTTCTCATCCTCATAACCCACTACTTGTCCATAACATGGAATCCCTTAACATTATCACCTTTATTTAGTGGAAACAAAACAAAACATGACAATTAACAATTCTCTGCAGCACTGGTAGTGTCGTATGTATAAGATGTTAACTTAACGCCTCATGAGCAACAAGAGACACAGACATGATTCATTTCTAGTACAAGAAATACATTCTACATTCACTTTCATGTGGTAAATATGAACTTGAGCGTGAGAAACAACCCAAAGTATTTCAGTAAATTATTAATTTACGGTGTGTATAAAGACATTCTAAATCTAAACATTTGGGTCATTTCTGTCCCCACGCAAAAGCTGGGGCCACACAATTAAGTCAGTGTATCTTCAATAAACGTATCATGATCCGCAAGTATAAACTAGTCATACATTTTTTCACTACAAATGACTGACAAGAAACATTTTTGTCCTGAACAGAGCGAAAGTTCAACCCAGTACAGATTTTATTTGATTAATACAAATCCCAGAACCTTATTGCAACTGTTAATAATACATTGCCATAAACACTACAGTATCCAACATGCTACTGAAAACATGCATATACGGAAAAAAGCTCCTATAAACACTCTCATATAACGGGGAACACAATGCTTTACTATTTACATAGTTTCTATCTAAACATGAGTGCAAAAGACATTTTCTGGAAAGTAAAGGTGGCTGATGTGATTGTTATCATATTACAGGTCAAATGTTGACTAGTCTTTAAAGATGATGATCAATAATCTCATATTCTCAATACGTAGGGTGACCATAATGTCGTGAGCCGATAACGGGACATAGCAAGTTTGTAAGGGTACAGGGTGAGGGTGTTAATGACTGGTTGGCAATAGTATCACAATCTGAATCACTGCCGGCAAGAAATAACAGGAACAATATGCTCTTTCAGTGCAATTAGGCAAACCACATGTTGCAGTAAACATGCCCATAAATACATTTTAGGCATTAAAAGCAAATACAAACTATGAAATCTTATAAGATACAGATATAACAAAAACAGTAAATGTATGTTATTTTCTTAAGCTTATTTCTATATATTTACCCAAAAAAAAAAAAAAAAAAACAGGACAAATGGCGCTTTTTTTTTCGTTTTTGGTGAGTACTCAGGGGACGACAGGGACACACGGGGTAAAAAAGGGGGGGGGGGGATGTCCCGGCGAAAAAGGGTGATTTGGTGACCCTATCAAGATGTTGCATGGCAGGAAAAGGGAGAAACTGAGAGGGATATTTCTTCTGCAGCCAGACACATGAACCGTCAGGAAATCCGCCATCAGGACGGTAAAATCAAATGCTTTGTACTGACAAGAACCTGGTATGATGGAGGTCAGACAAAACTAGATTATGACTGATTATGCAGGAAGGAGTATCGTGTATGGTTTGTGTAAAACTGCAAAGGGGTAATAAGCTTTGGGGGGGAAAAACGACAGGTCACTTTAAAAAGTCTAAGAAAACCAGGCAGCTACGGGGGGCAAAGGGTTGCAGATCATGTCCAGTGTGAATATGAATGCAGTGATGACATTTGCACTACAGGCCTTGAAAAGCAAGGGCATGCATTAGGAAATGGGTATGACAGCTAGGTCAACATATGCAAGCAGATTTAATATTCATGAGTACACAGCTGGGAGGCCCTTGGCTCTAGAGCAAAACACAGGCTTGAGCCTGGAAGAGGTGCTAAAATATCCTGTAAGTGCTTGCAGGTTGATACCCCACAGACAACCATTAGATTTTGTCTCCATTCAGGAACAGGGATGGAGTTCAATGTGACTGGAGTACATGGTGCTCGTGGAATACCGTTCAAGTAGAAGACCCCTTCAAAACGGATAATAAGTTTCAAAATGTACATTTTTTTTAATTCGAAAGCGCCAATTTGGAAAATGCACTCATTGCTTTACTAACCTAAAAATTTGCTTAAAATGTAAGTGTAATTATTTTCGAGTATTATGCATGTTTATGATCTTCACCTTTACACAATTCTCATTAGTAACCACAATTTACATTTGGATATGTCGACTTGAATAACCTATATTCTATAACTCTTACCTAAAGAGTGAAATAATTATAATCTCAATCCTACAGATAGTTCGAAAAACGTTATGAATGGAACGTACTCTAATAATATGGCCTTTACATGTCAACACTTGTTCCTGATTCTCAACTGTTAAGTTGCAATTTTTAGATCAATTTTAGCTTTGTGTTCTTTTACTCTAGTTTCAGGTTAAAATTAGTGCCTGCTTATTTCCTCTAAGCATGAAAAACAACAAGAAGTCCTGCAGCTCAGTTACAAGAAAGTGTTGAGGTCATAAACATACTGGTTCCCTTGTCAATCACCAGCAAGTAACTCAACTCAACAACCAGTTTTGAACCAAGAATATTATAAGAAAATTTGCCTATTGCCAACAAAATTAACCTGCAAGAGCACTATTTTTCAATAAACAGAGCGGAAGTTCTCAAACTGGGTCATCCTCAAGGAGTAAGGACTTATTCAGTTTAAAAAAAAATCTCAAGCAGTGTGTGATGAATACAGTTGGTTGTGTGAACTGAATGAAAATTTACAAAGGAGATTTTTACATGACATCACAGTTAGGTGCAGTTACATGACATCACAGTTAGGTGCAGTTACATGACATCACAGTTAGGTGCAGTTACATGACATCACAGTTAGGTGCAGTCACATGACATCACAGTTAGGTGCAGGTCACAGTTAGGTGCAGTCACATGACATCACAGTTAGGTACAGTTACATGACATCACAGTTAGGTGCAGTCACATGACATCACAGTTAGGTGCAGTCACATGACATCACAGTTAGGTGCAGTTACATGACATCACAGTTAGGTGCAGTTACATGACATCACAGTTAGGTGCAGTCACATGACATCACAGTTAGGTGCAGTCACATGACATCACAGTTAGGTGCAGTCACATGACATCACAGTTAGGTGCAGTCACATGACATCACAGTTAGGTGCAGTCACATGACATCACAGTTAGGTGCAGTCACTGAATAAACGGGAATCTTTTGTTGAAACATGGCACAGGCAGATTACAGATGGTGCATCATAAATAATACAATTATTTGAACAGCCTGGATTGACAAGTGGATATCTCAGTGAGAAAGGGTGAAAATAGGAGGCCATAAATCGTATAAACTTGTCTGAAGTTAAGGCCTCAAGGAAATCCAAAAGAGAAAAACAAAATGCTGAAAACTACAAAGAAAGACTTCACAGATGGCAAAGAAGCCAAAGAAGGAAATGTGTACCCTCTTGTGGAATAAGCAATCATATGTTGAGAAATATAAGGGCTTTATAATGTTTTTCCATGTTTTTTTTTTTTGGGGGGGGGGGGGGGGGGGGGGGGGGGCTGTTGTCAAATGTGCACATATGACAGTTTTAACAATTAGTATCTAAGTGGCCTGAAATATACCGTGGATGTTCTTGACCAGACTGTGCAGGGCCTAGACTAGGATAATTGCTGTACTTTTTTTTTTTCAAAACCTACAAGTTATTTAATTAGGCAAATTATTTGACATGCTTAATATGTTAAAAATCCCACGCACACACAAAACTTTTCAACACAAATTTAAACCAATCAGGCCCTAAAACATTCTATTATGAATAATTGTCTGTCACTACTGTTTGTATTTACCATTTGTTTAGGGTGGTATAGACGGAGGGGTCCAGAGTATGATAAGTTAGGGCCACATGGCTAGTGATGTCGATATAGACTGCAGGTAAGAATGTTTAATTCTGCTCCTAACAGAAAAACTCTTATAACTTTATCTGGGGTCCAACCCCGGGTCTCCCACATGACAGCCCGGCATGGTAACCGCTTGGCCAGCCGCTCCAAATGTGACCGTGGAAAATAATTTGGTTGATAAAATTATCTTCAAAAAATAAGCTATTCTGAGCATAATGGAGGTCATTATTGAACCTGATTTGCATAACATTTTCAGATTTCTCCACAAGTCATAATTTGTAACCCCATGTGATTATAATCAATTGTAATGCAATAGCTCCTATTTTAAGGATCCTGATTATTCTATCTTCAGCCATTGATAATGATTATTTCTTTGCCATGTGATACAGAAGATATCCTTCCTAGGGAAGTGGATATTGTGAAGGGTGACAGACTTAAGAATTGAACAGATCAACAGTGTCTGCAAACTTGAAGAGATTAGCAAAGGAGAAGGATAGGCACAAGTACTAGAGGGCAGAGAAGAGCTGCAGAAGTTGGTGATAACTTTGGGACAGGAATGCAGGGAATGGGTGGCTGGGTGTGTAGACACAGAGGTTCTACAGCTGACAGTGAACTACTCCAAGCCAGGAGGTGTGATTTCAACTATTAATTAATCAGAAGTGAGAGGCAGAAAGAACGGATAGGCTTCATTACAAAATCGCTGAGAGGGGGGGGGGGGGGGAGGGGGGCAGGCTTTGGAACCCACTAAAGACTCGGGGAAAAGACAAGAAAAGTATTTAACTAGATGTCAACTGGTACCAACAGTATGGAGACTGTTGGGTTGGGACACAGAGCTAACATGGACTTGTCCTGAATGCTGTGATGTCAAATCTTTACTCTGATGATATCCTCATGTGTCAGGCTATTGCTGCAATGTTTATCAATGTAGTGGGTAAAATAGTTAAGGGATCAGC